TGCTGTGATCATAGCAATCAGTATTCGTGTTACGGATGACCAAGTATTTATTAGTCATCTCAGCGAGAAACCGAGTTTCATTCAGGATTGCGGTCTCAATAGCATGCATGCAATGTCTTCAAGTTTTTAAGAGCCTCTACTTCCTTGAAAATTCGTTGGGCACTGTGAACACAAGTAAATTGCCCATCAAACACAAACCTTACAGAAAATATGGCTCTTTGAAGCATAACAATTAGTGTGTTACTTGAGCTGGCATACATAATCGCTTCCAGGTGAAAAGTAATTATAGACGCTTGTATCTGAGAGTTGGAGGGCGGCCGAAAAATCTTGATCTACTGAGAAACTTAAAGAACTCAATTTTAGCTCCTTCCTTGCGAAGTAAAGAAAAATAATAAATGAAAAATTTGTCGTTCTTGTGCACCTTTCTAGCCGATCCAAATCACCCGTAAGGCTGGTATATCAATCGTTCTCCTCTAGGATATTAGAGTAACCATATTCAATCGTACACCATCTCGAACCCTATTGGACATTTATTCTTCCTCTGGCTCTGTAGTCAAATCCAACATTCACTTAACTTTATCGTCATAGAATTCATGAACTCCTTATCTTAGGGGATGGGCTTTATGGGAATGAGAAATGAAGATGGGTCGGGATGGGAATGGGATGAAGAAGAAAGTCGCGCAAGTGGTCCGTTCGTTAAGCTCGTGCATGGAAACAAGCGACAAGGGCAGTGAAACAATGCAAAAATTATTACAGCAGCCATTCTCTAGAATAATTCTGATTCAGGCAATGGCGTCATCCGACCAAACTATTTCGTTCTGTCGAAAATTCGCCAGCGTCAGGACTGACTTAGTTTAATCTAAGTAAGTTTCATCGTAGACCCTCGTTGATGTATACCAACGCTCACAGCACGTGTCTAATCTAATAATCGACATGATCATTATTGCTTTATTTTGCCCAGGAAAGCGAAGTACATCGCAGTTGAGCGCCAATATCCACGTCCCGATAAAACCCAGCAAGAAGAGTGCCCCTTTTTAATAACTAAAATGTAATAGCCGGGTTGACGCTCGTCTAATACGTTCCCGTTTATCTCCGGGCCTTAGTGATTACGTGACCGACCTGTGCTGCGCGGGCGCCTGTGGCTGCTGCGGCAGCGACCAGGTGAGGCGGAGGCGCAGGCGGAGGCGAGTCCCGTACGCAACTCGCTCGCACGGAGATCCACGCAAGGCCGCGTGTAAACATCGCCCCACTCCTCGGACCTTATCGCGCAAACCCGTGCAGTGGGGCGCGTGCAGCGATAAGGTTGCGATGTCTGCTGCGCGTGCGTAGAAATGGGTAGTGCGCGGGAAAGATGCTTGTTCCTCCAGAGGCATAATTAACCAGGAGGAACAAGAATTCAGATGTCCACCGATTCTCCTTTTTTTCGAGTTTCAATTCTTTAGGTAGCTGAGAATCATTGATGTTGCTACTGATGTGCTTTTGACCAAAATATAATACAAATTAACACATGTTTTTGTTATAATTTGCGATATTACAGCGTTTTTGAGTGTGGGTAAAAATTTTAACTATTTACTCTAGCGCGGTAGCGAGGGAGTAACTAGTGGTGATACAGAATTGCACAGACTTTCCCGTATTAGTTTTCTATTTCCTTTGGTCTCAGCTTCGTATACGAACTTGCCATATATTCTTGCCAGCTGCCATCTATCGCCCCCCAACGTATATATTTTCCCTTAATTTTTCAGTTACCTTATTGTAGAACGGAAATATTTTTTAATAATATTAAACAACAGTATAATCACGTCCTAAATGGCAATTTCCTTTGAAAAATTTGAAGCCGTTTTTAAGAAAACGGCACTTAAGCGCTTCTGTAAATTCGAAATTTGAGGCTCTTTCTCACAGAAAACTTTAAATTTTTCGAAAAACTTCACAAGAAGGCATTTGAAGCACATTAATTCACAAATACAAATTGCTGGAAACGAGCATATTCACGGCGTGAGAGATCTTTCAAAAATTACATTGGTGTAATTTTTGAAAAAACAAAAAAGTACTCCGAAACTGACCGTACTCCTTTTCGTCATATTAAAGAGTGCAATTAGCATTAGCGGATCAAAAACGTTTACAGAAAAATTTGGAGACGTTTTTGAAAAAATGGAGTTTGAGCGTTTCTGAAAATGTGGAATTTTGAATTTTGAGTTTTTACAGAAAATGTTTTTTAGAAACTTTATATGACATTATTTAAAGCACATGTACTCAAAATATAACAATGTGAACAAATTGCCTCTAATGTAAATATTAACGACATGAGAGGCAAGTCAAAAAAATATTAGTAATTTTTGCAAAAACAAAAGGATAGAGCAATATGGCATTATGTCATCAAATAGAGTGCATTTTGCACTATTGCAATATGTACATAAGTGTAAAAAAAATTAGGAGCTAATAGTTTTGAGAAAATCTTGTTTTTATATTTTTTTTATTTTCTCGCCTTACGAATTCTTTGTAAGAAGAGCATGTTATGTAATCGTGCGCCTAAAAACGATGAATTTTAGCACGAAAAAATCTTTTAGCTGTGCTCTTGTAGCAAAAAGTGGATAAATTCTAATTCTAAATTTAGAAAACATCTAACTCGTGGGGTAGCCATATTGCATGTTTTGCTGTTCTTGATGCCGAAAGTCGATTGACGGCAAAACGTCCGTCTGTCCGCCCGCCTGTGGTCAACGCCAGCGGCTAAACTGAATTTGAACTCGAAATGTTTTTTAATGTATCTACTGTTGACTAGCTTTTGCTCATTGCAAAACTCATTCTCTTCACGGCTGCTTTCATTTTGTGAAAAGCAATTTTTTTCACATTTTTTCAATTACTCGGCTAATGCTAAGACGGAAACCACCATGCACTTATTCCTATCATAGAAGTATATGTCTCACGTCCTGCGGGATGGCCAATGAGGCTGAATTGCTGGATGCGGGCCTAGCTCTTCGGAGGGAATGTTCGCTGGTTCGGGTCTTGGCCGTGACATACCATTGTTTGTGACAATTCTGTGTTGCCACAGGAAATAATTGAGGATTTCACAAACCTTATTGAAAACTTTTCAATCAATTCTAATCGCAAGTACTATGAATCAAGATAAAAGAACTGAAAGTGTTTGAATGTGATTTTCGAATTTTTAACTTTTAAACAATTTTTCATATCTCTTATTGGTTTTGTCAAACGTATGAACCATCAAATCAATTGTTGTTTTCGGCGCTAATTACTATTTCAGAAGTGCCAATTTTTTCTGTAACCCAGGTGGCAGACGTGGTAAAATGTCGAGTTCGGTCTCAGCGTTTCTTGGGTCGCTGTTTCGAGGCTGGATCAGGGATAATTACTCGCCACAATTCTCTGCCACTTTTAACCAGCAAAAATTATTTACCACGCCGAGTCATGCCTTCCGAACTGCAATCTTTTTCTGCCCAAAGGACATTTATTTTTCATTTTGTTAATTTTTCCGCTGCCTACTACTAGAACTGAAGCACGAAGCTCATTTGACTATTATAGGAGTGCCTACCCCCTGTACGACCCCGGTGTACGAGGTTGGTTAAATGGTGAGTATTATTTCAGAGCTTTGAAGGCTTTCAGTGCTTTGGAACCACCTCTACTTTAAAATTGCACTTTTTATTTATTTATTTATTTATTTATTTATTTATTTATTTATTTATTTATTTATTTATTTATTTAATGTCAAAAACAGTTACAAACTGTGTGTGACGTGCTATGGGGAGAAGTTACTTCGAAGTTACATTTATTTATATTGCTCGTTGATATTGCGAGAAAACTATTACAATTTTCAAAAGAATGTACGTGATCTTAATGAAAGAACTAATTATGGACAACAAATTTCTTTGGAAGGAAAAATATCTATCTTCAAATTGTAGTTGTTGGAAGAAGAAAAAAAATCAAATTTTGGAAATCTTCGAAAATTTAGAGTTAACGGTGAAAATCGGACCTATGCCAACTTTATAAATGTATTTTACTCGATTCTTACAAGAAATATAAAACTAAATTGTAGCTGTTTTCGAAAAAGTTTTGAAAATGTCCAGAGGGTTTCATGCAAAGTACCCCTAAATTTTATAGAATATTTTTCAAAATCGCCAAGCTTCGGCTCGAGTCAGATGGACAGGGGTTTCTTCAATTTGGAAAAAAATCCTCCTCATGGTTTATGCGCTAGTGGTGTTCACGGACGGACAGACTGACGTTTTGAAAAGAACCACTTTTTCGGTATCGGAGGACCGCAAACCGTATTTTCGTTGAAATATCGAAGTCGATTTTCCGCAGCATTACATATAACTTTCGTCAAAAATGTTTTTGAGACTTCATGAAAAGAATCCTCAAAATCAAACTATCCGTTTCAAACTCGCAAAATCACGAGATTGTCCAGATTGATCGAGGAACATCAATTTGGGAGAAAATCGGCAAGACGGTTTTTACGCTAGCGTTTTAAGTATTGAACCAACTATTAACTGAAATTCTGAATTGTTCCCGTGACCTTATTCACATCTTAAATAACTGAAAGATGATAATAAATATCGTTCAATTACATTGTTGCAGTCCTCACTCTGTATTCGTCCCTGTGGTTTTTCACGAAGGACCGGCACTTATGTTTTCTTTTAAAATTGTTGTTTTCTTCTTCTTTCGCATTTAATACCATAGCCTTTGCAGGACGTGACAAATGTGTTACGTATTCCTGTCGTTTGTCACCGTTGTCGCTGTCGTTTGTCTCCAGCCCACGATTCTGCGTTTAGAACGTTTAGTAGAAATGTGACCAATCAGGAGAATGATGGAAATCTGTTGCTATGGATACGAGTTCTAGTTTACAGTGTTTCCGACCTTTAGGTACGAATGAGAATGGAAACTCTTTAAGTAATTTTTTAATACCATTATTTTTATTAACTATCCCTATAAATATGCTTGCACATCTATTTTACACCTCAAGTGGCAAAATGTAAACACTTTGCCCGTATGCTACTGAGAGGGGGAGGTGGTTGGATGGATTCACAAATTGCAATGAGACATGTGGGTTACGTAGGTTAATAGTTGTGCGCCGTGGTTGGTGGTGTCTTCATTATATCCCTACGTGGTGATATCCATTCTTGAATTCTTCCAGGGTAGTCGACACGTGTCGAGTGAATTAGTTTCCATGTCATCCTCGATATGGGTGTAGGGAAAAGCATGTTAGACAACCATCAAAAGAGAGAATTTGCCGACCTTCGTAACACACGTTCGTTAGAGATGAGTGACAAAACTGCCGGTGTTTTAATAGTGGGCGACGAAATTTTGAAAGGTCGTGTTGTGGACACGAATTCACCTTTTATTGTTAAACGATTGTATAATCTGGGCGTTAGGGTTAAGAAGATAAGTGTTGTACCAGATGATGTGAATGTTATTGCAGAAGAAGTGTGTTTATTTTCTAAACAATTTGATATAGTTATAACGACAGGAGGCATTGGTCCAACACATGACGACGTAACCTATGAGGGTATCTCAAAAGCATTTAATGAGGAGCTGACAATAAACAAGGAACTTAAAGAATGGGTTTCCAGTTTTACCGATGGGGAATGTACAGATCATGTTAAAAATCCGGCTATTAGAATGGCAAGAGTACCAAAATCTGCTAGGCTTCTTAGGTGTAAAAAAGGAGGTTCCGATAGATTCTTAGATACAATGCCAATAGTGTGTATTGCAAATGTTTATGTATTTCCAGGCATCCCATTATATTTACAACATTTGTTTATGAAGTTGGAGCATGTATTTAAGCCTGATGAGAAATTCAATTCAGTATTTTTCGATCAATGTTTGTATTTTATTACTGATGAATTACATATGTTAAAACAACTCAATTTAGCTGTAGATAAGTATCCAGATGTCGCATTTGGCTCTTATCCGATAGTTGATCAGGCAGCATATGTAACAAAAATTACTCTTGAATCATCTTTTAAAGACAAAATTTGGGAAGCTGAAAAATATTTTTTGTCCCTTCTTCCTAAAGGATCTTTAGTGAAAAAAGATTCTTTTCATGCTGATGATATAATCTCGTCCATATACGACAGAGCATTAAAGTTGCCTAAGAGTGAACTTGTTGAAAATGTGAAAAAATCTCTTCAGGTTGTCTATAATAAATTATTTGAATGGTTACATTTTAAAAAATTCGTATCCATTATGTCAATGTCATTAATTTTTCAGATTGTGGAGCAGTGTCTTAAAAAGTATGATTTTTCTGAAATATCTATATGCTTTAATGGAGGTAAAGATTGTACAGTACTTCTGCATATCACATGTGCTGTACTTTGGCATCTGTACCCAGAAATAAAAAAGAAACCTTTGCAAGCTATATACATTAGTTATGATGACCCCTTTCCTGATGTAGATAATTTTATTAGAGATTCCATAAAAAGGTTAGATTTTGAGCAATTATTTTTAAATTGAACATCAGTATTTGGTATTACAGTATATATACATTTCAATTTTTACAGGTATAATCTTGACTTAAAAATTGTCTCAGGACCAATTAAAAATGCCCTTGCCTCTGTATTGGCTGAGAAACCAAATTTGAAAGCTGTCTTAATGGGAACTAGAAGAACAGATCCGTATTCAGATTCACTTAAATCTTTTCAGGTACTTTCTTTGCCTTTCTATCCATTTTATTAACCCTTTCTTGTAAAACTGCATTGAGCATGTTTGAAAATAATTAATTTAAAATTGGCTTCAGGTCTAGTGTCAACTACCCACCTCAAAATTAATGTATTTTAAAACAAATTACAAAATATAATTTGGTTTATTGAAAAGACTTTTTACCCAAGCATCGTGTGATGATGGTGTAATAACAACATGATGGTGTAATGTGGGTGTAATAACAACAATAATAATAATATTGAGTTGCATATACAATTTCAATTGTGTATGACTAGTCAAATATGATGTATGTGGGTGCACATGTCTTCCTGGGTTCCAGAATACCTACCCTCACTAGTATGACTAAAGGTAGAAAGCAGCATTTTAATATATGTTCACCTCTATGTGATACAGCTGCAAGAGCAAACAACCTTCAGATTAGATTTTGAATACACGGCTAAGAAATCACTAACCCTCCTCTCCTTTTGTGCCTAGCTAAATTACAGAATGAAATGAATGTTAATCTCTCAAGAAAACTTGTACAGAGAGGGATGAATTTTTTACTGTCCAGAACCGAAGCAAGGGGGCCATCTCAGCATTTGCTCCAAGGATCATGGAAACTGAAATTGGCAATTAAAGTCTTTATATTATCTTCAGTTGGATAATGTTCTGGTGGTTCAGTAAATATTCCTCTCTCTCTCATACTCATATTTTGTCAAATACTCAATTAACAAATGAAAACTTGGAGAGTTCTGGGTTTACATTGTAGAAAACACAGAGTGGGACAATATATATTTTTTTAAATCTTATTTCTTCAGGCATTGGAAAATGATTTTTATGTACCTGTCAATTATGCAATTGTTTTTATATTGTTGTTTTTAAGAAAATGTATGTGCTGGTTGAATAATTGCTCACAATTCTTTACAGATGACTGATGCGGACTGGCCACAAGTTATGCGAGTGAGTCCAATTTTAGATTGGTCATATCAAGACATTTGGATGTTCCTTAGAGAACTTAATGTACCATACTGTTGTCTCTATGATCAAGGGTAAGTGATAATAATTTTAAAATAGGCTTTACATTTGAACAATTGTTTTTAATTAGAATGTTTCTTTTATCTCACAACCCAAGCCTGGAAACACCTGCTCTTGTGACAATTTGGCAACCACCACGTGAAATGCTTTTGATAACCCTTTCGCTTTTACAGAGCCTCTGGCAGGCATGTGCTCTCAGGTTTCTGGGTCGGACAATGCAGCTATTTTAGGAGGAGAAACCATTTATTCTGCCCTTGGGTATTCATTCTTTCTCGCTTCATTCATTGTCGTAAGAATTTCTGTTTAGGAAAGAAGCAGCACCAAAATTTTCATTTTAAGGAACAATAATATTATTATTTTTATTTTTTATCAATTATTTTTGGTATTTGTTGATTTATTTCTTATTATTTTATAAATATTTGCATTAATTTTATTAAGATTTTCTTTTTTAAATTGCAGTTTTGAAGCCTTTGAAGAATAAGCGAGTTAAAATTGTGTGTGCCAAATAATCATATTATTATTATTATTATTATTATTATTATTATTATTATTATTATTATTATTATTATTATTATTATTATCATTATTATTATTATTATCATCATCATCATCATCATCATCATCATAAATAATGAAGAACTTGGCAGTGATTCATGAGATATCTTTCTGATTTCTCTGAGATAGCTTTCATTAAATAATAATTATTATTACATCTCGGTTAATAAATTAATAAATCAGTCGCAACATTCGTCTACATCCTCAAAATCACTGTTTCTTTTCTAGAGCCTACTTGACAGAATCATAGAAACTCAATTTTTTTGCCCGGTAATGCTCCACCCCACCCCACCTCACCCTGCCCTGCCCTGCATCGCTCAGTCGAAAGGATTCCAGCCTGTGAGCTGTGAACCTGACCCTGAAAAAGAAATCAGAAAACACAGAAACAGGAAAGTTGCTGCAGCTTATTACCCAATGCTTGCGTCATCTGCCATCTTAACTTAGCAGCCACAGCTGCCTTGACTGGCTACACAGAAACCTGGTTGCCAAATTATGACAACTAGAGCGGTGCTCTAAGACATGGGTTGTGAGATAAAATAAAGATTCTTTATTTAGTAATACGAAGTATAAATCAAAATATGTTGATGTGTTTTGAAGTACTTTGAATTCCCCATAAATTTACTACTGGAACTACTGACAAAGCATGTTTTACCACCACTCATTCTTCCTCTTCTCCTCCTCCTCCTCCTTTTCCTCATTCTCCTACGTGTTCTTATCCTTATTCTTGTTCTTGTTGCTCTTTTACTTCTTGTCTTCTGCTGCTGAGCTGTTTCTTCTTTTCTCTCTCTCTCTCTTTTATTTTTTCCTTCTTTTTCCAAAAATACATATTGAAACAGTGTTTAATGTGAATCCTAATAAAACATTTTTGATTATCATTTACTGTAATTTTTTGGTCAATGCTTTACAGTTATTGTGCAATGGCAGCTAGAATTTTCCATTTGTAAATCAGATTTAAAGAATAAGTCATCATTGCTCTAGGAAAGATATTTTTTCTCATTCATGACCTTTCTTTATCAGAGATTACTCCAAACCAGTTAATGTTCATGGGCAGAAGTTCAACATTAAGTACTAATGGAAACCCCTTAGTTCCGTGGGGAATTCTAGGAAACCCAGAGGAATGCTAAAATGGCTAGAAACAACTTAATTACCACATCTTTAGGTGAGAGGTGTGTGCTGTATAATGTGGTATATAGAAAACAGTGTTGTCAGAAGCAATGTTTTATTGGTCCTCGATTCCGAAAAATTGGTTGACAGCAAATAAGTCTGACTATCTGTCTGTGGTAAAAGCTAGCACTTAAAACGTAGTGAAGAGGGTCTTCAAAATTGATATCACCCTATATATCATACTGAATATAAGGCCCTGGGGATTGAAATCAATATTTTGATTTTGGGGACTACTTTAAATGACATCTTATGTTTTAATATTCCTTGAACTCACTAAATTTTTGAAAATTGTAAAAGTTGAACATCTTTTCAGCTTCTTCTTACAATTACAATATTGGTGATAGAGATTTTTCCTACTAAAAACTGTTCTTCAATGCACAATATATATGTAACTTTCTGGTAATTTTGCGTGAAATATCGGCAATTTTTAAACGATTATTTATTAAAATATGGTTTGAGTTTGTTTGTTTGTTTTTTTCTTTCTTTCTTTCTTTTTTTTTCTTCTTCTTCTTCTTCTTCTTCCATTTTTTCTCTCAGAGAGAGTGAAGGAGGCTTAAAAAATGACACATTCTATTTTTGATAATCTCTCAGTATTTTCAAAAATTCAAAAAAACTAACTTTACAAAACTACAATATTGATGGTAGAGATATGTTTCCTTCATGAAATCTGTTTTAAACTATTAGTGTTTCAACAGCATGTACTTTCTTACATTAGTAATTGGATTACGTAATATTATAATTCTGCCATTTATGTCCATATGAACATATCACAGCCGTTACTTATGGCTGTGACTTATACGCTGAGTACCAATCATAGCACTTGAGGTGCTAAATCTAATATTTTAAAGATAACACATCAACCCAGGATAGACCATCCAAAACTGTGTTCCATTCAGCGAGAAACATTATCGGTCAACAATGAGGTAATTTCCGGAATGAGTTTCAAACTGCTTTGTCATTATTGTATTTCAACCTGATATATCATAAGACATCAGCAAAAGATGCACAGGAAATTCAAATTTGCTATTTCATAAATGCAAAAATTATTGAATAAGAAATTGTCTGACCCTATTTTTAAGGTGTAATTTTGAAGGACAGATTTCATTAAGTTCAAAAACACTAACAATACTCTAATTTGGAATGTTTGTTATTGGCAATTTTCGAAAATATTTAGAGTTAACTGAAAATCTGCCCTGAGCTATATTATAAGTGTACTTTGCTCTATTCGAGGGAAAAAATTCAGAACCATTCGTGTCATTTTTTTAAAAATTGCTTTTCCTGAAAACAAAAACTAAGCAAAAACCTACCACTTTTTAAAAAAAGAAAATTGTACATGACTTTCTTTAAAGATAAGTTTTTTGAAAATAAATTGCATTAAGAAAAGAAATCTCTATCATCAGTATTGTATTTTTGCAATGTAATTTCTATTTATATTTCTCATCTCAAAGAAGACTCAATTTCTTTTAACTTTTCCATGGATGAAACAAAAGACGCCTAAAAATGATGCAAGTGTTGTTTTGTTAACGCAAATGTTGACTGCATCTCTCTTCTGTTGGCTTCCAGGGTTTCTCCTTTTCTCCTTCCTAATGGTGTCATATCTCTGGCTGGTTTCACCAGTCTATTACTGCTCATTAATGTGATGTGGCTATTACAATAATTTTTTCCTTTCACAAATTTGATAATATCAGTTATGTTACACAGTATCCTTATTTCTTGTCCTGTCACTCCTGGTCTTTCATACCAATGATCATTATATGTTAATTTCTACTGATCGCCGTCGATGTTTTGATTTCTTCCAATCAACTCAGGTTTAGCCTTCATATGTCAAATTTGGTCTTTCCATTGCCTTATAGGCTTGAACTTTACCTTATATACTAAGGTAGTTATTTTTCCAAATTACATGTGTCAAGTATCCTGATGTGCAAGGTCCTTTCATGGCCTGCTCCCTTGCTTCTTTCCATGTACAGCAATCACTGGAGATACCCACACCCAGGTATTGGAACTTCATGACTCGCTCAAAGTCTTTGCTTACTATTTCTTCTCTTAAATCTTACACTCTTGGATATTACCATCAATTTTCTTTTCTTTGTTGAAACAATAGCATTATATAATTTGGCTGTCTTTATAAATGTATACAAAACTCTCCACAGACTATCTTCAGGGTGTGCTATAGGCATGGCATCATCTCCATAGCAGATTATGTTTATCTGGTTATTACCCATCATGTAGCTTCCATTGTTATTATGCTGTCAATTAGTTGAAGTTGAAGATTACTGGACTTTAAAAGTCACAATTTGTCCTAGCAAATTCACCCTAGCACTCACACATTCTATCTTGTCTGCAGTTTAGGTGGCCTACGCCGCATAAAGGCGGGGGGGTCCGCGTGTGCATATTTTGTTTTTCTGACAATTTTTGAGGCACTAGTTTGTCCCTCAAAATTGTGATCACATATCGTAGCCTTTGAGATCTATAAAACAGAAACCCTCATTATATTCAATCCCTTTCTCGACTATTTGACAGACTATAAATATAGCATCTGTTGTTGATGTTTGTGCAGAATTCTTGTTGTTTCTCGTTGCTAACAGCTGCAATTTTCCCTGTATTATTTCACCCAGGTTCATTTCTCCTTCCTTTCTTTATAAAAGGGAAAACAATTTTATTGAAAAATGTTATTCCCCATGGACCTGACCGAACTCCAGGCCTTGGAAATTCAAAACTATTATTTTGATTTTGGTGTGTATTTTACATAAACCTTTAACATTTGCAAAATGTATTCACACACAGTATTTACCTTTTTTTTAACACTAAAGAAATAAATAGACAAAAATGGAAATAGCTTTATTCTTATTCCTATTCTTATTCTTATTCCTCTTCTTTGCTTTTTATCTTCCTCTTCCTATTATTATTATTATTGTTGTTGTTGTTGTTGTTGATGTTTTTATTGTTAAACTGTTTCCTTTTTAATATTACCTCCATACTTCTCACCACTCCCTCCCATTCTCTCTACCCCCATGTATTCCCCTCTCACCCTTCCCAACTCTGCTCCTTCCCTCCCTCTCCATATTCCTTCTCTGCCTATTCCTCTTCTCTCTTCCTTTCCCTCTCTCCAATCCCTACTTCTCCCTCCCCCTTTTCTCTCTTTTTTCCTCTCTCCCTTTCCCCTCTCCTCTCACTATCCTCTCTGTCCCCTCTTTCTCCCCTTCTCTCTTGCTCACTTCTCTTGCTCACTTCTCTCTTGCTCCTTTCTCTGCCCCCTTTCTCTCTCCCCTCTCTCTCTCTCCCCCTCTCTCTCTCTCCCTCTCATCTCCCCTCTCCCCTCTCTCTCTCCCCCTCTCTCTCGCCTCTCTCTCTCCCCTCTTCCCCTCTCTCCCCCTCTTCTCCCCCTCTCTCTCCCGCCTCTCTCTCCCTCCCCTCTCTCCCTCCCACGTCATCCCCCTCTCTCCCTCCCCCTCTCTCTCCCTCTCTCCCCTCTCTCCCCCCTTCTCTGCTCATCCCGCCCTCTCTCTCCCCTCTCTGCTCGCCCTCTCTCTCCTCCCCTCTCTCTCTCCCCTCTCTCTCCCCTCTCTCTCTCACTTTGTATTTTGCTTATTTGGAGAAAAAATGATAGAAACAATAAAACATTAGCTCATTTTATAGTAATTCAGAACTGTGAAGTTGGACTATAAATATTTCTTATTCTTATTTTTCCTCTTTCTTATTTATTTTCAGTTGATTTGAACTGATAAATTGTCTTAAATATGTGACAATAATAATTTCTTTCAAGTTTATATAATTTTGTAATTTATTCCTATCAAATTGTTTATATGAAAAGTGAAATATTGCAACATTGAAACAAATTGTTGGGATCCTCTTTACTTTGAAGATCCATGTAATCCTAATATCTGCTTTTCAGTTTGGAGATATTCCAATGAGTTGTTGCAACTGGCTGAAATTTTAGCTTTGATTGTACCTTATGCTTTATTGATGTGTGTAAATGTGGTTCTGGGCTCAAGGTTAAGTTTTGCTTGTTGCATGTTTATCACATCCTACATCTACCTCTAAGTGAGACTTTGCATGAGAGATAGATATCAGTCAAATGTGTTGCTATGGTAGTGTGGAATGCATTAAAACAGTAATATTGATCCGCTGTGTGTGTTAATGACAGTGTGTTTGTATATGTAAGAAACCTGGCTCAGTGTTCTAGACTTCTCAAAGGGTGCAGTTAAGGAAAGTAGTCCATATACTTGTGTTATAAATATAGAAAACATTGTTTGTATTAAAACAAGTGTTGTGTGTGAATGACATATTTTGGAATATGCAAACAAATGGCTTCAAGGTATTTCAGGAGTTCAAGACATGGTATTCATCGTGTATATTGATTCATCTCTCTATTGAGAAAGGTCACAGTTATTAGAACCTAATATTCACAGTATTCAATTCTGAGTGTTCATTTTCAGAATGTAAGTTGTTATAGTAGAAGAGTGATAGTTTGTGTTCTGGTTATAACATTTTTGTTGTGAGTATGGAAACAATATAATTAATATAATGTAGTGTCATTTAATAAACTCTTGACTAGAATTCTAGTATAGAAAGTCATGTGTCGCCGAAGAAGAGGTGGTTGTCGAATGCCTGATTGGCTGAGAGATTATGAGGCCAGAACCTGTTCGATTTTGGCAATCATCAGTTTCTCGTGTGCTGTTACCTCCTTTGCTGTTTTTACTGATTCTGCTGTTTTGTCCCTTACAATGCCACTCAAACGGGCAGTTTGTACAGTCATGAGTGCAGAAGAGTTATATGGTCTTACAAAGTGCCATTGGACTTCATGTCGTGGTAGCTGTACTGCTATGTTTTACAATTGCACTCAAATTAAAGTTGTTTATGTCCTTTCTGAAAATCAGACATCGAATGTATCTGATCCTGATGTGTTTAGTGCTGGTGACAATGTAATGACTTCTAATGTTTCTCATGTGAAGCACAGGGAAATACGTATTCCGGCAGAAATTCAAAATAAAACACAAAACAAAATAGTGTTTGAAGATAAAGATAATAATACTAAGTATAATGCAAAATCGCGTGAGGAATTAAAAAACTTCACTCCAAATAAAACACAAAACAATATAGTTCTTCAAGATAGAGATAATAATACTAAGTACAATGCAGAATCACTTGAAAAATTAAAAAACTTCGCACAGTATAATGTATCTAACACATTTGAACCACATTTGGATATTAATACAACTATTAATGATAAAAGTGGAAATATTCTGAATATAGAAAATAGTATTTTTAGAATTCTTCTTCCCAGCAATAATGATAATGTGAATAAAACTTCAAAACCTTTTGCCTTAAATAATTTAAATGAGACTGTTCCAGTTTCAATAGTTGATAAGTCAATAGATACAACTGATTTTGAAAGCGGACATTTTAACAGTGATTATATTAAAGAATATGATGCGGCAGATTTGGTAAATTTAAATGCCAGTAATCCAGAAAACACCAGTTCTATTGTTCCTCTCTATGTAAATATATTTGGATGTGGGTATGAACCAGAAGAACTTTGTGAACAATTTTTTGCCAATTACACTCATGTAGGTATGGAATTTCAGTGTCTTATTAGCCATGAGAGTGAAATATTTGCAGTACCAGATCCAGAAGATTATGACTTTACAAAATTTAAAGATCCCATGAGAAGCTTGTTACTTTCTCTAATCCCATCAGGAATTTGTGTTTTGTCTGCATCATACATTCGTGTTCGGCGCCTCTACAAAATGAAGCCTAAAACAGAGGAAGATCCTGAACCAAAAGGGCGTAGAAGACTTATGGTGAAGAGGTATCCTGCAGAAGAAAAGGAAAGTAAATCTCCAACGCATGTAGAAAGTAGATCTAGCACCAAAATGGGGACTCATAAAAACGGGCAAGAGCAGCCAGCATTCATAAAGGTACAAGTACCATTGCCTCCTCCAGTAACAGATCCCTCACAGAATATCGATCGAGAACAATTTTTGTGATACACACCTGTTTACTTCATGAACTCTGAGCCTGACATTTTTTGTATATATCATCAAAGCACTGAAATGTTTTATTTCAAACTGAAGTCAACGATAGTGATTGGAAAGGTATGAATGCATGCATTTATATTCAAATAGTGTTTGGAGTATATTCTTGCAGGTGTGTGTGTGTTTCCAATTTGGAATTTTGTTGCTTGAATTTTCAATAATCCCTCAGCAAGTAGCTTAAGCTTGAGCTTTTTTTTAGTTAAATTCCTGTGACTAGATCGAGTGGGTGCAAATAATTAGTGAGTATGCAACATACTTGATTGAAATTTTTGCAGGTATTCGTCAATTGGCAGCTATCATAACACTGCTCCCAATCCAAGATTGATGTATAAAGATGATAATGGTGAGATAAAATACCATCCTGCCTATCTTTTGAAAGATGAAAAGAGTGAAAGAAGTGGGAGGAATTAACTACAGCACTTAATTCTTAAAGAATATGGAGTTAGCAGAAAATTATTTTGAGACAATAGAGAAGGTGTGTAGTAAAACTTTTGGACCAAATGGAATGGCTGTACTTGTCCAAGGTTCCACTGGGACCATGTCTGTAACTCAGCGGGGTTGGACAATTGTGCAGTCTATTTATGATGAAAGTAACTTGAAGAGCTCACCTATTAAAGTATTCTTTAACAGTATGAAAGAAATTAACAAAATATTTGGAGATGGTGTAAAGTCATTTGCATTAGTAGAAATCGCCTTTTTAAAAAGATTAATGCACCTGAAAGTTGAAAATAGCATGTCTGTTGTAACCATTTCTCGAGAATTACAAAGTCTTTTACGAGCGTTTTGTGAAATGAATATATTATCCCCAATTAGTGTATCACTGAGTAAACCAGAAGATCGTGTGAGAGCAACAAGTGCTTTGTTTTACACGTCTTGTCCATCTGCAGTTTCTTCAAGTCTTCAAACCATATTTCATGATTGGGTTTCATCATGTTTGCGCATAAATTCATGTAAAAATTCAGATGAAAATTTCATTTCATATTTGCAATTTCTGACAGGAAATTTTGATTTGCTATGTTATAGAAACAATTCTAATTCCAAGTGTGTGTCAGACTCTTATATTTTGCCTGGTTATCTTGTAGACAGAGTTGCTTTAAATTTGAATATCAAGAAGGAAGAGCATCTACAAGTGGAGCTGTATATCCCAGAAGAAGAAGTAGATGTTTTGGATATTTTGTTTAGAATTAAATTGATAATTAAAGAAAAATCTTCCTCAAACAATTTTCGAACTTTGCTTCTCACAACAGCTTTGTTAACAGAAGTGGTTTTGTTTGAACTTATACAACATAATTTTGTAGTTTTGCATGGTGTACCAGTTGAAGCTGCAAAATTTGTTTCTTTAATTTTACATCAGAATATTGACATTTTGAATAATGTTGTTAATGTTAAATCTTACATCACTGGAACCAAAGAATGTACATGTTTATTATTGCCCAACATATTTCAGTTAATAATATGTGCTCCTACTGACTCATTGATTAGTGAGTATGCATGTATTTGCAAAAATGCATTGAAGCATTTATTAGTTATTGCTAAAAGTTCCCATGGTGCTGGACTTGTCCAAGCAGGAGGTATCTTTGAAAAATCCCTCCATTTCTATATTGCGAAACAAATCAGTAAAGTAAGAGATCCCTCTCTTTTTCTTGTCAGTAATAGAAAGGAATTACTTGAATGGCATAGGCAAAACCAATTAATGAAAACTGCTTTAGCTGGTCAAGATAGTGATGGTAGAGCAAGAAACCAATCTGTGAAAGGAAAATTAAATAATTCTGGTCAGGGAGTATCTGAAGAAAATGGCATATCGAATGTGCAAAATACAGAGTTAACCTCTTTGCATCTTGAAAGTAAAAGTCAAGATCCAAAACAGTTACGTAATATTAAGAACCACTGGATGAGTAATTTGGAAATAAATGGTCTTTTACTTCAGAATGTTAATGAGAATATATTGGCAGCATTTGCACAATCTCTTTTGAGAATTTGCAATTCTGTAATGCTAACAACTCCTCTGATGGAAGTATATGAACCAGTTTCTTTCAAAATGCAATTATTACATCATGTTATTATTACAGCAATTTTGTTTTTTAAATGTGATATTGCTAAATAAGTGTATTTGCATTTATTTGTACTTACTTTTTTATAGTATGAATATTAGGGCATAAAATTATTTTAACTATACCACTACATAAACTCTTTATTTGGTTCATTAGCTTTTAAAAGCAGCTCATTCCATTTCCAAAACTTTTATAAGGGAAGTAAAAACTTTTTATGTTCAAAATCTGTTTAATATGAATAAGACATGTTCTTGCCAGTTTGGTAGAAATAAGATGGATTTTAACCATAACCTTTGAAGAGGTTTCAAAGGACTCCGTTAAACTTAGCAAACATGCTAAAGAGTGGATTTTACTAAATAATGATATGTGGTTTCGATAGCGAACACTTAGTTTATTTCATTTTATTTATACATATGTCATTTTTCTTTATGTCTTCAGTTAATAAATATTTCAGCTCTAAAACAATATTACTGTAGGCCTATCAGTTTCATTATGTCCTCACATCATCGATGTAAATATCCATCTAATGAACCTCAGATGAAAATCTAAAATGTCTAAACAAACAATGTTTCAATATTTTATCGTTTCATTTACTTATCATTATATAGTGTTTGATAAAATACAATACACACAATCCTAGAGTAAATAGATTCATTCACTCATGAAAATCAATCTTAATTTTTCACTGTTGAAAAAATCTTATTATACTTTTTAACCATTAAATCATGGGCATCTTGCAAGAAGAACATGAAACAGAGATATTAATCTTAACATTCACACTGAAATGATAACTACATGTGCACAAAAATGTTATGCTGTCATCCATTAGTCAGCAGGTCAAAAACAAACAGGGATGGAATATTAAGAAGAAGTTCTTAAATCGGGAGGTTTGCAGTGGTACCCCTACATTTCCGAAACTAATGAAAAGGATCAATAAACACATTACTTCCCCCTACAACAATTCTCACTGCCACCACCCTTATCTCCATCTCTTTTGCTCTGGGTTTCTTTAGTCTTTGAACTTAATATAACCAAAATTTTACCATGAAAGACATTGCCAAATCAAAAGAGCAAATATATGTTCAGAACTGTTGTTTTTTAATTTTAAAAGTTTTTTTGTGCTTTAAAATCTTTTGCATTTTTTAAATATATTTTTTATTAATTCAAATTGTATACTTTCTCATCTTCAATAAATTAATTTTCAAATGCCTGGCCCAAACTAAAATTCCACTGAGGCTTTAGCATTTAATTCCTGTAATGTCTCTGTCAAGTAAATTTTACTTGCCATAGATGCTCATGTTAATTACTATTATGATAGTGATTAAAAAGTTCCAGCACTTGACACTAAATTCAGTCACAGATAATTTCTTCATGGTGCAGTGCTCCTAAATTCATATTATTTTAGAGGGAATGAATGTGATTGTATTGTCTATGTTCATTTTCATTTGTGTCATTAAATCAATTTGTTGGATATCATCTTTAAATGCATTTTTAACAGAAATTCAAACTTAATTTTGAAAATTCCTTCTCTCAAAATCTTGTTGATTAAATAAGTTTGTATTGAGAAATTTAACATTACAAAAAAATTTTTAAACCCTTTTTATCTTGTGAGTAGATTTGTTGTTGTGAACGTATTGAAAATACCATGAATAGATCTTATAGTACCAACCATTTTCATTTTTTATTTATTTTTTTACGACACAAGGAAACAGGAATGTTTTTGATTCTATATATGAAAACGCTTTCCCCAAGGTTTTTTCATTGAATTTTTGGAGACCCATTTTTAAGGTGTGTAGTTCAGAAACCTTCTAGATGATACCCCAGTCATTTTAATATCTTAATTAATATCTTTTAAAACTTACAAATGTGAAGGAGGCTCGTGTAATAAAATGTAGATTTGAATATAAATGTGTTGTTTTTTTTAAAATATATTTATAAAGAACCACTGTTAGCACAATTATTGCTTGCTTTTATATTTTAAATACATTTATTAATCACTGTAAATAAAAATTCCATTTGCTAATTTCAAATTACTGAACTTTAGAAACACACTATTTATTTTAGCTTCTTTATTGAAATTTCTTGTAACTCATATGTTGTTATTTTAGCTTTCAAAGACAGAAAACCCTATCTTTCTATTTTGTAAAAAAAGTAAGTCATAAAAAAGGAAGTAAAACTTTTTGTATGAGAGAAAGTCTTCCGATTCAGTAAAGTCTTTGAGAACTGTTTTTCTCTTGGATTAAACTCCTTTATCATGTGTTTCATTTGTTTCTTTTATTTGTTTTCATTCATTCTTTTTGGCTTCTTGCTCATTTTGTATTTCCATATTACACGGAGTGCTTGAAAATCACTTCATTTGCAAAATGCTTCTTAGTACCGTAACTTATTTTATGTAATCTCTCCTGTGTGCAAATTTCTTAACTACTCACACCTGTGCAACTAAACTTTGTAAAGTGTATGTTATAATGAGAAATATTTTATGGATTTTTAAAATCCTTAAAAACCCCAAATCCAGATCGTGAAATGTTAAAAGTTTCAGTATTATTTAGAGGTGCAGTGCTGGAAATTTTTAATCCTTTTGGCTGCAGCCAGGGTAAAATTGATCACTCAATTGGCCCCTAATAAAATTTAACATATATTTTCAAAATTAATTTGAAAATATACTGCAAGTTTGGAATTTCAGTAATTAATTTTAAAATATTTTTAATATATGAACTAAATTTTGTTTAAAAAAGCATAGATAGCCTCTGTCCGGGGAGGGGGCTCAAGCTACTCTTCAAGTGTATTAATTACATCCTGGCTGTAACCTTACATCGGATATCAGTATTAACATTTTAATATAGAGAAAATGAATTATAGTGTTTTGTTAAGTAATTGGTTGAACTCTTCTTAGAAGAACTTTTTTTTACTTCATTGCTTCTGAGAATTACTGCCATAGTATATTGATAATACATGTGTACAGATGTGCATTTAAACATAAGAGCAGTGGTAACTAAGAAATCTATCAAACCATTCGTGGCTTTTATCCTCTTTGCCTTTCATTTGAGGTGATAGAATATATCTTAAGGACCTGCAAATTGTAAGTTTAAAATAAATAATCAAAAGTTTTTTTCAGTAATCACAGAAAAAATGTAGCTGCTTTTGCTTTGCACATTTTGATATTTTAGTACATTACAACAGTAATGTCAAATGTATTAGACAAAGGATCTCAGGAGTATTTTGTGATAGGCTTTTTGGGAGTTTAGGGACAACTTCAGTAAAAAATGAAAAACAAATCCACCACTAAAAGTTGTGGGCAGTAGAGATGAATTGCTTCTTTATTGTCATAATTATGTACTAGATCTACTAAAGATTTTTTTAGTAAAAATAAAAATAATAATTTAGCTAGATAATATTTAAAATTTCTTATTTAGGAAAATTTTATTCCGGATATACATTAATCTTTTTGTTACATATGAACAATGTACATTAAACTTTGTTATAAATTATCTTGAATAAGTTAGAAAATCTCTGTATTAAGGCTATGTTTTATATTTTTTCATACTGATTCAAAAAGATATTTGTCATAAAATAAGGGAACATCCTGTATCATGTACTTATATACTCGTTTAATATTCAAGCAATTTTGAAAATAGAAATTTTAAAATCTTACTTTGGTTGAGAGAAAATTCCTCTTGTAGAAATCAGGGAACCTATGCATTAATATGAGGATTTATTTTTATATATAGTAAAATTTACACCAGATACTTAAAAGGTAGCAAAATAGTAATCAAAGGGTGTTGCAGGGAGTGGCACTTTTCCTAGGCTCATCAAGCTCCTTGCTTTTGTATGTTTAATTATTTGATGTGCCGTAAAATCCCTCCTCCTGCAACTTGTGTAGCACTGTGATTTTTCACCTTTTATGTGGATGTTGAGAGTTATAAACAGGTTTTTATAATAGAATTTAGAAAAACAAATTTATTTTCTTCCCCCAATTTATTTCTGTATTTCAAGTCCAAACCCAATATTCAATCCAAAGGAATTTAATTACAATATTTTAAAGTCTGATGAGTTAACTCTCAAAACCACAGAAAATAATGTGAGAATTAGTGATATGTTTGAGACCTTATCATCCACTTTTGAGACATATTTGTGCTCTTAATTTTTCTTAAATTTGCTGGCAAATTTAGGTCAGAATTAAGAGAACATATATTGTTTTGTTGTTTTAATTTAATTTTAGAGTTGCCGCTTATTATAGTATTATGGTATGTTATTAAATAGTGTTGGTTGAATGAGCAGTAGGTGCAATACTGCCTTTCTAGTTAAATAGAATTTTCTTTTGATTCAAAGTGTAATGTTTCAAAACTGATATACTTTTTAGGCAGTGAATAATCAAAGAGTGTTAACTTCATCTAAACTTTCTTTTCCTGTTTAAAAAACAAGAATAGATAGTTGAATAAAGCAGCAGATTCAAGGGAGGATCGTGAAGGTCACATCATCCCCTCAAAGACATCTTTTTTGTAATATTACTAAACTTATTCAAAACAGTTACCACTTATTTATCACATCACATCACAACCAAACATGGTTTCCTATTAAGGAACAAATTTGATTTATTTATGTTAATATTTTTCTATTCTTTAAAAAACATGAGGAGAAATAAAAAGAACCACCATCCTGTCCCCCCCACCTCCATCAAATACTTTCTGGATCTGCATCTGTCTGGATAATTCTAGACATAATTACTACTTTTCTTTTATGAAGAGTAGCGAGTACCTTTAAAGTAATTAGAAAATATATGAAAATTTTAAGAAATATATTTTAATTGTACCATAATCCCAATTTGCATATTGTAAATTTATTCATTTTGTTTTGCATAATGGATATCTATTATGGTCTGTACAGAAAAGTTTCTATAAAATTTTGAAATATATGTATGCAAACATGTACAATTGTCATTAATTAGTTGCCTGAATTGATATATTTTGTTGAAAATAAATATTTATTTTATATTCACTGATTGTTTATTTGAGTTTGTAAGTTCATGATTCTTTTCAGCAACTAAAAGTGGTATTTCATGTTATAATGAAACTTTTAGTAGTTTTCGCGCAATGTTGCATGCAATTCGTGCATATAAAAACAATATTTCTCAAAAACATTACCTAATTTTTTTCTTTAAACTTTTGGTAGGAATTGTGCTAAATGTACTTTATGAGATGGCATAAACATCAGTTTGCTTCATTCTTATGTTCTTTCAAAAATGTAATGTTTTCTCTTCTCTCATTCACATTGTTCATATTTACATTAACAGCAATTTGTTCACATTATTACATTTGATGTGTACCTGTGCTTTAAATAATGTCAGATAAATTTTCTAGCACAGCCGTTTTCTGGGAAAACTACCTCAAAATTCCACATTTTCAGAATCGCCATTTTCTCAAAAACCGCTCAAAATGTTTCTTCAAACTTTTCGAACTGTTAATGTTAATTGCACTCTTGAATATGACGTAAAGTTAATTTTTGGATCTTTTTATCTCAAAAAAGTACACAAATATAAATGTTTTGAAAGATCATTGCACATTTCCAGCAATTTGTAAACTATTGTTTTTGTGAGTTTAAGTGCTTCAAATGACCCAATGGAGTTTTTCGAAAAAACAAAAATTTTCTGTAAAAAATGCCCCAAATTTCGAATTTACTTCAGCAATTAAATGCCTGTTTCTTAAAAACAGCTCCAATTTTTTCAAAGAAAATTGCCATTTATGACAAGGTTTTATTGTCCTTTAATATTCTTAAAATAATAGTTCCGTTCTGCAATAAAAAACCAAGAAACTAAGAATATTTTAATAATTATTTATAATAATAATAATTAAGAATAATTATAATAACTTTCATAATTTACCCTGAGACATGTTCAAAATTTTCTCAAAAATGTCCCCAATTTTTTTCTTTAAGTTTCCTATCAGATTAGAGAGAATACGCTTATGGCATAGATCCAATTTTCACGATTAACTTTGCATATGTTGAATATTGCAAAAGTTTGACATTTTATTGGCGTCTTGCTACATCCACAAAATTGTTCAGGTATCTTTCCTTCAAATGAAATTTGTTTGTCATGATAATTTTTTCCATTAAGGTCATGTACATTTTTAAAGAAATGTTAATTTTCCTTCAATAGGGTCATTCCACGTCAAATCACACGGATTCAAAGAAAATTTGCCCTTGATGTCCCAGTTTATAATACTTTCTGTGAAGAGTATAAGCAAAAATATAAAACACGTGTTTTTCATTTTTTCCTAAGCCCAAGTTTTCAAGAATTATTTGTAAAATTTTCGAACAAGTTGTTAAGTTAATTATTTTAATGTGTGTCGTTTTTGTTTTGAAAATTTTGTATTTTGCGATCAAAGAACAAAAGATGCTCTTTCATTTGATGTACATATTGAATTCGTTATTTTTTTAAAATGTTTTGACCCTTTTTTATTTTTTAAATTCCTCCTAAAACTTGACAGTTTAAAACTATGAAAAAAATACCTTTGTGAGTATAAAAATTTCTACATAAGTACTTGTTCAAAGTGGGATACAGAGATAATTCTGAGAAAGTAAATACAATAGAAATGTATAAGTGCTGCTTTGCTGCAGCGTCTGCTAGAGCATCACCCACTAAGTACTTGTCAATCAGCATTTGACAATTACAGTCAATATACTTTAATGGAGCAATGAATAGAAATATTCTTTTGCATCTTACTAACTGCCGGACGTATTGTATATGACCTTTATAGGAACCGATTGAACTCAAATTAAAAAGTTGCAAAATGATTCAATTTCGTTTTAAACGGGTGGAGTAATATAGTATACGGAATAGAATCGTCCCAATATATCTCTTCCTGCACATGCCAATGAAGCCACCACAATTGTGCGCGCCGCCATATTGGTACAACCCTCCTGGCGAAAGTTACGTTACACGCCTGCGAAATGTATTTTTTTAATTCGTAAGACAGCGAATATTTCTTTCTTTGAGATAGTTCACTGCAAAGGGCACGATAAATAAGAGTTATTACGATAGTAGTACAAACAAGTTTGTACTAGTACACTTGAAATCCAATCAGAAAAAAATACTTTGAGAGCTGTCCAGTGATAAAATACATAATATATTTCTTTCTAATTTTGTCACTAAAATCAGTATACAAAAAGTTATATTTTTAGTATTTAAGATTATAGTACACAGGTTATTCTATTTTTTTCTTGGGTGAAGGTAAAATGGCCCGTAAAGACTCACCGTTTAGAAAAAATATGTATATTAGAAACATTTTTCTTAATATACCAAGTGTTAGTGTTTCATTATAATTACATTGTTTATATATTAACGTCAGTAACTTGTTATTTATATTTTCTAAACCCCCCAATGTTCTCTTATATGCATTGTAGGCAAAAACTGTGGAAACTCCCGTGTCCTCAAAACGCTGCAGAACAAACTTCGAGTAAAGAAAAATATAAAAGCCGCTTTTGAGTTTAAAATTATTTTATTCTGAGTTATTTTAAATGTTTTAAAAACTACTGTCACTCACAAAATCTGTGGCCACTCTCATCGATTGAATGTAATAGTGACAATTTCCTGCTCTTTATATTTCGTATTTATAAGCACATTTACCTTAAGATTAGGGCTAATTTTGAGTATTATATTTTCTAATAAAAACAACTTACCATGTTATACTGTGTGTGACATAATTCCCAAGGTCCAAGTAAAACTTCGAGTATTACTTCAAATTACTTTAATTCTGTTTGATGACATCAATTGTAGGGCAATATAAATTACATACAAGTTATAAAATTTATTTTATTCAAACTAAAATATGACATTACAAGTCCAAATCTCTGTAAGGTTGCAAAAAGCTGCAGAAAAGCAGGAAATACCTGAGAGACAGATCCCTTCTTCAATATGTAACTTCACTATGCGCACGCTTTGTTGAACTCTCCTTTTGCTTGTAATGAGGAGAGGGAAGGACAAGACGCTATTATGTTAGCAATGCGGAAAAATCATACTTGCAATTCGTGTACCGATGCAAATAAGTTTTCAATAACTCAGAAACGAAAAAGACTATTTTTCAAATATTGCTAATCTTGTGATTTTTAAAATTTATTTTTATTTATTTATGTTAAACTTTTATGGATCATGAATTATCATGGATTACCACAGGCATCAAAGTGTCATGTGAATGAAAACGCAACCTGTATAAAATACTAACAAATAACAAATGTAACTCAAACTTCATTTCATATTACAAAACACATAATTCAATCCTAAAAAAAAGTAATTAAACGAGCAAAAATTAGGCCAAACATATATACACAACATATATACAAACATATAAGTACATTGCAAATGCACATAATAAAACAATAGCTATGTGGGACATTATTAAAAAGACTACAGCACCAACTAATAATAACAGAAAAAATATAGAGCTCCACTACAAAAATCAAACTGTACAAGACCCACAAGAAATAGCTGATATTTTCAAAAAACACTTTTCACAAATTAGTAATAGGTTAATCTATCAATACTCTCTAAACAATAAAACACACCAACCATGTACTAATATTACCCAAATTGTAAATTCCATATTTTTATATGAAACCACCCCCTCTGAAAATTTTAAAATCATTGGACAAATGGAGAATAAATTCTCAGCAGGCATGGACACCATTCCAGATTTTCTTATCAAACACAGTGCTCCATGTATAATGCAACCACTCTCTCACATCTGCAATAACCCTCTAATATCAGGCATATTCCCAGATATATTCAAAACAGCAAAAATTAAACCATTGTTTAAAAAGGACAATAGTTATGTTCCAATGAATTACAGACCTATCTCCCTGTTATCAGGATTTTCAAAAATTCTGGAAAGACTTTTCAATGATAGACAGTTTCTCAATGCAAATAACGTCCTTACAAATGCACAACATAGCTTCAGGAGTAATAGATCCACAGACAGCCATCTTCTTTTTAAATGACATACTTGTTGCACTAAATCAGAAGGATATTCCCATTAGCCTTTTCTTAGATTTGTCAAAAGCCTTTGACATCATTGACCATCATAAACGTTTAAGAAAACTAGAAATGCTAGGGATTCGAGGCATTGCAGGCCAATGGATCAAATCATATTTATCAAACTGTAGCCAAATAGTTGCCCTCCAGCACACTAAAGAAAACAAAATCTCCTCGTACTACTCCTGCCCTCAAATAATAAATTGTGGTGTCCCACAAGGATCCATCCTTGGGCAAATACTATTCCTTATATACATAAATGACATGCCTTTGGCTTTAAGGAACAACAAAATAATTTTGTTTGCAGATGACACAAATATAATCATCAAAGCAAAAACACAGCAATCGTTAGAGAAAGGAACTCACAAAACTGCAAGCACTAGTTAAGTGGTTTCAAGACAACAAACTCATCATAAACACTAGCAAGATAGTCTCTCTAAATTTCATGAATCCCTGATCTAAAGAAAAACTCTCAGGGCATTTGCTCATAAACATTAACCCTGTAATGAGCATTCATCTCATGAACAATTCAAGAAAACCTAAAATGGAATGCTCACATCTCAAATCTTAACAAGAAGCTCAGCAAAGCTTGCTATGCCCTATACACCCTCAGATCAAGCTCCAACATTGAGACACTTCGAACAATGTATTTTGCAAATGTGCACTCACACCTAAAATATGGAATAATATTCTGGGGAAATGCCCCTGAAAGCACTCGCACATTTATTATCCAAAAAAGAATATTGCGAACAATGACCAGCACTCATAAGCTGGAGTCTTGCAAACCCTTGTTTAATAAACTAAGGATTCTTCCTCTACCATACATGTACATATTTGAAATAGTGATCTTCACAAAGAAAATTCTCATGGAAAACAACGACACTGCTACTTTTAATTCTGATGTACACAATTACAACACCCGTCAAAAGGATAACCTACATGTTCCCCACTCTGAAACTACACTTTATCAAAAAAGTATCCTAATAGAGGGCATTACACTTTACAACAAACTAGGCAATGATATCAAAGACATAAATACAATTCATACATTTAAAAGTAAATTGAAAGCTTTCCTGCTTAACAACATGTTCTACAGTGTAAAGGAATTTTCAAATTACAACATTTCCCTCAAAAAATATAAATAAATAAGAATTTTTTATTCCATTAGACTTTCTGTTTCATGTAAACTGTTTCAAGCTGAAGGAATATCCTAATATTACCTAAATATTACGTACATGTTGAAGGATATACAAGGCACTTTTGTTTTTTACCGTTTTTTCAGGCAACCAAACGCAACACTAGTGAGTATGGTCAGATACACTTTCAATACACCAGCCCCTATCAATAGACAATCGATCAACCACACGACAAGCTCTTATAAATGCATACGAAATAAAATTCAGCACTTCGTCGCACTTAAACAGAACGCGGCAAAGCCGAATTGGGTTCTACCAATACGGCCCCGCGAACGTAATGGCTTCATTGGAAAAATGTATGGGCGACTCCTAAGAAGAGTACTTTTTGTGCGGGTCACATCTTACGTGAAACAAATCTTATATATTTCCTGTAATGAGTAGTCCCGTGCAGTGAGCTCTGTTGTCACAGATATACTGTGCTATAGTAGACCATAGTAGACTGTAATGTTGAGATCACTGGTCCGCTGTAGTCTTCTCTGGAATTTACATAATACACGTGCGAGGGTGAAGATATGTGTATTGATGTGTACCGTGGTGCCTAACCATAACCTTTCGAGAACGAATTACGCAGGAATTATGGCTGTTGTGTTGTGAATCGTAAGTGTTGTATGTGAAAAGGGTGTATGAAATCAACAGTATATGCCAAAACGGTCGTTCAGTCTGTCAGAGCTTTATTCACAATTTTAGTTTTCCTACATTAGTTTCTAGAGAAGACAAAAATGGCAAGTGAAGAAGTGGAAGACAAGAAGAAACCTCACAGAGAACGGCATGCTGGTAAGTGGATATATATTTCACTACTGAAAAATAGATGTTTAGCAGTTTCTACACTTGTAACTTGGAAATTCTAGGACGTAAAGCAGAAAAGAAGGCGAAGAAGAAGGATAAAGGAACTGGAGAAAAACAACGAAATCCCAAAGCATTTGGTTTTAATTCTGCTGCTAAAGCTGAAAAACGTTTCAGAAGGTAGAATAGTACATTTAGAAAGGAGCATGTTGAACTAATACATTGGAAAGTTTAGTGTTTTCATTTGTCATAATGTTGATTGTTTTATAGAACACAGGATATTGAAACCAAGAGGCAGCACATACCACTAGTTGACAGAACACCTGTTGAACCTCCTCCTGTTATAGTTGCTGTTGTGGGTCCTCCAAAAGTGGGAAAATCCACTTTAATACAGTGTCTTATAAAAAATTTCACTAGGCAACCTCTCACTAGTTTAAAAGGACCCGTTACCATTGTATCAGGTAAGGTGTGTTTTAAAGACAGTTAAAATCTTACCTAAAATTCTTAAAATAGTAAAATTCACATTTGCAAAACATGAATTTTTATGAGGGATTACATTACAAATAGAGGATTTATGTGATTCCATGCTTTTATACAGTAGAAGAAATAAAAAGAAAATAAAGCAGAACTGATTTTTTAAATTAAATAAATTATTCAGGAGTTCCAATCTGAGGGCATTTATTTTCTGTTTCTATTCTTTATGGTTAAAATGAATTTTTATGATCATTAACAAACTATATTAATTAAAACCCATGTTAATTATTAATGTAATTGTGTTTTGTTGTTGTCTAAAACAGTTAAGTTGTTGTAACAGGTCTTCAATCTTGAGGAATTCAATATGCTTATAATTGTTCATATTACACTTTGTTTTTAAAAATATGCCTTTGAAACTTTCTTATTATTTTGTGGTAGGTATATATATTTGTCAGTTTTGTAGTTAATTAGTATAACAGCATCTCAACTGTAGATTGCACTACAGCATAATTAGATAAGTGTTTTTAAATATCCACTACTACATGACGCTAAGCAAACATAGTTTTGAACAATCCATCATGCAACACATTTGGGCTCTCAGTGAACCCGGTTATGATATATTCAGTTTTGAATAATTGTGACACACTATGAATATTGTTCTTTTACAGAAGGCTTTTGTGAAAATACCTGATTTATGTAATGTAATACCTCAAAGCCTCAATGAATTAAAAAGTAAAAGATAGTGGTATTAACCAGAATAAATGTAGTAAATATTTACACATCACATGCAACAATAAAAACAACAGATATGTGTCAGTCACTATCACTAATCATTAATAACTCATTTTCCGTAACACAATTATTAATATTAGACAAGAAGGGTCACATGGAACAAGAAGCTTGTGAGACAGATACTGAAAGAAGAAAGATCGAGCTCCGTAGATGTGTGTCTATGTAATCTTATGGTTGAAATGTTTTGTAGCAGATAACAGTTCTAAAATGTAGCATAAAACTTATGTTTTTTCTTAAACTGACTTTCTGTCTCCTAGGTAAAAAACGTCGATTAACAATAATGGAGTGCAATAATGATATTAATTGCATGATTGATATTGCAAAGGTAGCAGATCTAGTACTACTTCTTGTGGATGCCTCCTTTGGATTTGAAATGGAAATTTTTGAATTTCTTAATATATGTCAGGTATTAAGTTATTCTGTATTATATTCTTACTGGCATTTTAAAAGATGTAATGTAGCTGAATTGTATTTTGTTTTTTTATTTCTCAGGTTCATGGAATGCCTCGCATTATGGGTGTTTTAACCCATCTTGATATGCTCAGAAGAAGTAATCAATTGAAGCGTGTGAAGAAAACTCTAAAGCATAGACTATGGACAGAAGTTTATGCAGGAGCCAAGTTATTTTATTTATCAGGATTACTTCATGGAGAATATCTTCGTAACGAAGTGAAAAACTTGGGACGCTTCATATCAGTGATGAAATTTAGGCCTTTGGTATGGCGAACATCACATCCTTACTTATTAGGTATGTCTATAAAATGGACTTTCAAAGGTAAAATTTCTCCCATACATTTTCACAGTGTATTGGGTATTTCTTTTGTACTGGTTTGGGAAGTAACTCACAGGGGTGCATCAAACAGATTTAAGAGAAAATATTGAGAAATTTTTCATATTTTTTAAAAAGAAAATAGAAAATAAAACTCCTGTTACTCTGCAATACAAATTGCTAACTGTGAATACTACTTTTGTCGGGTTGACAGCTGGGAGTGGTGGAAAGCGATGGTGCCATTTACTCTGGCGGAAGACACGTGGTCATTGTCTTGTCAGATCAACTGTTGAGGCATACACATCCAACTTATTGTATTTATAGTAGAATTGTAATAATGACACTAGATTATTTCATGAAGTACTGTTACACAAATTAATCACAGTCCCTTACGCTAATTGTGCCAATAACAAGGAATAACAAATAGTTTTGGCATAACACACAAAACAGATGAAAAGTAAGTACAGTGAGACACGTTTCTACCAGGCAGCCACTGATGTACTATCTTAAGGCAGACACTTAAAAAACTCTTCCATTATTTCTGTGGGTCGGAGGTATAGGCCATTTTTGGCCAAAATGAGATTATTGGTAAAATAATATGAGCTTTTTGTCCTCTAACCAGAGGTATACTACACTATGTCCTACATCTAATAATGGCAGAGTTACGGTGCTATAAAATAACACCAAGTCCACTTTCACTTAGAGGTATGCAAACCTTCAAACAGCTCTCCAGTAAAATTGAGTAAATGTGACATAGTGTCCTATACCTCCGACCGACAGTTTTCAAACATGCAATTTTCGAAAATTCAGAGAAAAAAAATATTAGAGCTCTGCCATTCTTTTAAGAAAGCCTTGCTTTATCCATGGAAATTTTTTTTAAACTATTGGAATGTTTTTTGAGTAAATTTTTAGTCTTTATAGAAAGAAAAAAAACATCCATTTGAAACTGAGATGGCCTAAAGTTTTTCTAAAAAATGTATTGAGGAATGTCAATTTTCCAGATCAGAAAAGGCTAGTAAATATGTTACTTTCCTCTTTATTTATTTATTTTATTTCTTTCTTTCTTTTCTTTCAAGTTTTGGAGAAACAACCTTTTTCATGTTTTGGGTTTTCTTCTCTTAAAGTATCCTATCAAATACATAGTAGATAGTCGTAAGAATGTCCACTGATAACCACAATTATAAAGCAGGTGATTGTTCAGGGTATATTTAACTAGCATGGCATGGAAGCTGAATATCCTAGCAATTGTGTTTAACCACCATGGCAGCCAGCCTCTTGAAAATATTTGAATTGGCATAATTAGAAAAAAATTGTCTATGATTTTCACAGAAGATAGTTCTGTAATAAATGCTCCTGAATTCATTTAGAAGTTACTCTTCTTTACCTTTATATTTTAGTGTTGCTTATGGTACTCACATTTTCTTTTATGCTCTGCATCTATTCCCAAACTATGGACTTTTTTTAGTTGACAGACTTGAAGATATAACCTCTCCAGAAACAGTGAGGCAAAATCCAGTTGTAGATAGGGAAATATGTTTGTATGGATACGTTCGAGGAATTCCCTTGAATAAGAATTACAGCATACATATTCCAGGTAGGGAGACAATAATTGTATAATGAATGCTTATGTAGATTTATTTTCATAACATTTTATCAGTATCTTTTTTCAGGCGGTGGAGATTTTAAATTAAATGATGTAACATATTTGCCTGATCCTTGTCCTTTGCCTGACAAGGAAAAACGACGAAGTTTGATTGAAAAAGAGAGATTAATCTATGCACCGTTTTCTGGTGTTGGTGGTATTGTTTACGATAAGGATGCTGTGTATGTAGAACTTGGTGGCAGTCATTCTCATTCTCATGTAAGTGGTATTTTGTTCATGTTATATTATGATTGGAGAGTACATATTGTTGCTTTATGCCTTTACTTTGTTTTGTAGGAAAGGAAAACTTCTGAACTTGTCAATTCCCTCATGGAAGTCCAAGAACCACTTGACAAAAAGATGGCTCATAGTGAGTTGCAGTTGTTTTCTGGTGCAGAGCCAATAACCAGTGCTGATGTTCTTGGGTAATGAATTATTTGTCTCTTTCAAAAGATTAAGAAAAAGATAAATTTAATACAATTTTGAATAATGTTGTTTTTTGTTACTCTTTTTTTTAAAATTCTGACATTTAATTTCAAATTTTGCCTTATTATACTTAAAGAATAATACACTTAAATTTTTGATGTAAAGTTTCCACACTCACAATGTCAATAATTAAGTATTTTATTCTTGATTGTTAAATACTTTCTGCTGTAAAAGTTCTAAGTTTCATAGTTCCATTCTACTGTATGAGAAGGATTTTTTGGAAGAAACAAAGTTAATGTGAAATTTGTTTTTTCTTTCCAGAAAATCAAATCGGTACCATGAAGAATCTGTGTATAACTCTGGACGAAACAGACGAAAAGTTGTTTTTGAAAACAGTATTGATGGAGCTTCTAGTGAAGGGGATGATGATGTCACTGATGAAGAAGGAATGGAAGTTGACAGTGAGGAAGACTATGAAAATGATATAATTTTTGATGAAAATGAAAGTGGAGAAGGCGATGATGATGATGATGAAGATGAAAACAATGACAACAATGATGAAGAGGAGGATAGCAATAACAATGACACTGAAAGAGAGAAAATTGTTGAGGTTAAAAGGGAGACAACTGAATCTGGTATTAACGGTAAACAAAAACTAACAAAGCGTATAAAATCAAAAATTAGTAGTTCTACCAAAAGAGAAGGAAAAACAAAGAAAAAGTATATCTGGGAAGATGATGAATATTGTGAAAACAATACAAACCCTGCTCCAACCAATCAGGAAGATTCAGATTTTAAATCACCTCCGATAAAGAAACAAATTTGTGAATCTTCTATTGAAAATAATATTTCAAAGAAGCATCAGAAAAAGAACCAAATCAGTGCTGCTAATGCAAAACTGATTTTGGCCATGGGTGATGTGATGAATGAAGATATATCTGATGATGATGAGATTCATTCCGAGGGTTTGTGTCAAGAAAAATCTCAAGGATTGATTCCATCAGAAAATGCTAGGTACGTAGACAGTCATTTTGAAATTATAGGAAAGTATTTGGCCAATAGTTTTAAATTTATAGTTTGCATTGCCATTGTCATTTAATACATTTTCAGAATTCATCGGAAACAAAATGTTGACGTCACAAACAAAATATCAGAATGTCTTGCACTTCTAGAAAAGAAAGCTGATAAGAAGACTGAAAAGAAACTATCTGCAGATTTTAGTGAAGGTGAAAGTGAAAGTGGCAGTAGCAGTGATGAAATGTATAATGATTTTATGAATAATGATAATAAAGATTATGAAAGTGATAAAAATTCCTCAAATTCTGAAGATGAAGGAGAAGTAGTTGAAAGTTCAGCAATCCAGTGGAAATCAAATTTGACTGAACGTGCTGCTAATGCTTTTTTGGACCGTCAAGCTAACAGATTTAGTTTATGGAAGTTAGTATATGGTAAGAAATTTCATTCAACTATCATTCTAATCTTTGTACTGATGTGTTTTTTACTTAAATTTCTATTCACCAGAATAATTTATTAAAGAAATAAACCTCTTGCTATGGTTATAGCTTTTATAGCAAATATAATATGGTAAAAAATGTGAAAAATTTTCCAAATATTCAAAGATTAAAATAAGAATTATGTAATTGACACATACTTTATAACACTAATTACAGTATTTAGATTGCAAGCATCATGCCTAAGTAATTTACCCATCGAACGTCGTGTACAATTGATAATTAGGATTTGTCACCTGACCTTTGGCCTGCACGGTGAACAATTTTGATTTGAGGCCAGCTCCTGGCCAAAGTTGTTTTAATGTTAAAAGGATATATTGTATGCTTATTATTGAATATATTTTCCATGTTAAAATACATATATACATGCATATAGTGTACCTGAAATAGTAAAGCATCCATAGATACTCTGCTAAAGACAGTTATTGCCTGTATGTAGACTTGGGTTATGCTAACTAAATTATATAATTTATTTCTGATGGACTAATGTCTGTTTTTCCCTGCATATCATTTCGCAAATACATGATAGAAAAATAGAAAATAAAAAATGACTGAAAAGTGAAAGAATAAGAAGAAAATAAGAAAAATTTACAGAAAAACTCAACAATCTCAACAACGAAAATAAGAGTGTATTTCTTCTCTTTTTAATGCAATGTGGTGTCTCCTCAAGGACTTATCATTTTTTATTTTCTATACATTATTTAGTTTTAATCATTGTAGGCTTTCACACGCAATGAATTATGTCATATATTACACATATTTATTTTTTTTTAGTTCTCATTCCTGTAATTTTCATTTTTCTCATAGTCGAAGTAAGTTTAAAAACTTTATTTTTCATCCATTCATAATTATAACAAATTGGTTTTTCAGTATAAAATTGTTGTAAGTCTGACAAATGCTTAAATAAAATTTTCTCAAAATGGCTAAAAAAATATTTAAACCTTGTTTCAAGATAGAGCTCAGGATGGAATTTAAGGATATCCTTCATATTACAAGAAAGAATAAACTGTTGTAGCTGGTAGTTCGTTTCATTTGTGCTGTCTTCAAAATTCTTCCTCATTATATTCACTTTTCTCATTGCAATGGTTCATACTGTTATTACTCTTATGAATGTATCTACTTTGCAGGGGAAGATAAGCGGTCTAATTTACCTGATAAAGATGAAGGTAAAGAAGAAGAGGATGATTTGGGTGGTCTTTTTCGAAAAGTAACAAAAGAACAGAAACAGTTACAGGAAGAGCGGGATTTGCAAGATGGAAAAGATTGTTCAAAGACCCGGACAACATGTGGAAAAGACTGGAATAATCCTCAATCCTTGTTGTCAATCACAGATTGCTTTGTAACTGGGAAATGGAAAGAATCAGAAGATGCTGAAGAATTATTGCGACTAGATGACGCTAGTGTTAGTGGTGATAGTGATGTATTCGGAGATTTTGAGGACCTGGAAACAGGAGAGAAACATGTTGCGGAGAAAACTAACAGTGCAAAATTAGATTCAAAGAAGGAAGATTCTGCAGACCTGTCTTCATTGTCCAAAGCTGAACTTGTTGAAAAGAAGAAGAAACTGAAAGCTAAATTTGATGCTGAATACGATGAAGGTGAAGGTGGTTTTACCTATTATGATGAATTGAAACAAGAAGTCAGCAGACAGGCTGAAATAAACAAGAGCGAATTTGAAGGTATGGACGAAGACTTAAGAGTGCAATTAGAAGGTTTTCGGCCAGGAATGTATGTTCGAGTAGAATTGTCAAATGTTCCTTGTGAGTTAGTAACTAATTTTGACCCAACCTTCCCATTGATTATTGGTGGTTTGCTAACTGGAGAGGAAAATGTGGGATATGTACAAGTGAGGATAAAGAAACATAGGTGGCACAGCAGAATATTGAAAAACTGTGATCCTCTAATTGTTTCATTGGGATGGAGAAGATTTCAAACAATTCCAGTGTTTGCAAAATTGGAAGATAATCTAAGGCACAGGTGAGTGTTGGGAGTGAGAAAAGAGAGAGATGATGGAGACATTTGTGAGTGTGAAGACATGCATGAAATTCATTAAATCTACGAAAGGCATACTATATTGTTTTACACTTCATTTCTTTGTACCCAAATGAATCACATTACACATCAGTTGTTATATCTAACTTCTCAACATAATCTCCTTGTAACTGTATGCACTTTTGCCATCTATGTGTCAGACTCTCCACACCTGCCTGAAACCATTCTTTTGGGGTACTTCGTTCCCCTGCCTTGACAGTTGTGCCCAGTTCTTCAAAATCTGTAAAATGGTGACCACACAGAGATTTCTTCATGTCCCCGAATAGGTGATAATCACTTGGGGCCAAGTGGTGAGAGTATGGTGGGTGTGGCAGCACTGTAAATCCCATTTAATCAATGGCAGCAGTGGTCTCTCAGCTAGTGTGGGGGCAGGCATTGTCATGTTTGCAGAAGCACACCTTTAGCCTGTAATATTTAAGCACTTATGGGTTGCCACATATGCTGCACTGTTAATCATGATCCTAAATTCCAGCCAACAAGGATGATGCTCCTTGTGTCCCAGAACACTGTGGCTATTCGCTTGCCAACTGATGGCACTGTTTAACATTTCTTTGGCTGTGGACTGTGCTTCCGTTGCACCGATAGTCCTTCCCTTTGTGGCTCATGGTAATGGAGTCATGTCTCATCACCAGTTACTAGCCTAGCCATGAAGTCGGCTGGATCTTGTTCATAATGTTGCTCTGCACTCACCTACACACCACTGCTTTTGGTCTGCTTCTACACTGACAGTGTTGTTATGAAATGGCTATGGCAAGTGCATTCGTTGGCCCCTGTGTGTGTGCTGCTATCAAACGGTGGAACAAGACCCTAGTTACACGTCACCACCTTCAGAAGTGAAATGTAAAACATACATGGATATAAAAAAATAAAATGTAAAACAATATAGTACGTCCCTCGTAATTTTTCTTAATTTGTAATTTATGAGACTAATAATTATGATAGCTCCTAGAAGAATTGTTTTTCATCTTGAAATCTTATAGTTCAATTTGCATTAGCCTTCACTGCTTTTGCAGCACTGTCTTTCTGTTCTTTCCAGATTGACAAATTTACCTTTCCTTTCCTTGTTTCTCTCACATTACTTTTGTTCTAATTGAGGTATTACATTGAGGTAAGATACTTATAATGACTAGATTACAGACCAACAGCTGCTGGTCAGTCAGAACATTGTTCTGAAGTATGATGTTTGGGTGAAGTGGAAAGTGTTTGTTACAGTGTGGTGATTGAACATGACTCTAGCAAAAGGCTAAATGTTACTAAGGAGCGTTGCCCCTTTTAGGAGAAATGAACGGAACTTCTTTTTTCTTGCAAAAGTTGTGTTAGAACTCTCAGGAAACTATTCCACAATTTGCACCAAAAAGTTTAAGAAGAACACTATACATATAATATTTGCTGTACATTTCCTTCTTAATTTTGACAGTGTGAAAGATCATTTATCATCACTTTTGTTCTTTATAAGATGGTTTGAAAATTTTTGGCCCTTACGTTTCTTAAGATTGTGACTTTCTGGTTCAGAGATATGGATTCTTAGGTGGTACTATATGGAAATGTTAAGGAAATTTTGTTTAAATTCTACAACATTGTTTATTAGTGTAAAAAAAGGGTACTTCTCGAATTTCTCTTTCCTCTCTTTTCCTAAATAAAGTAGTCATTCACTGTGATACTAATGTGAAAATAAGGGAATTCAAACAAGCAGTAATTTCTTTGCAAGCATTGTAGACATTGAGTGTATCTGCCTCCACCGATGACTTGTTGGAATTCATAGTTACATGTATACTAATTATTCTATTAGTGTTCATTTAATCAGTGATGACTATTCTTGACTGGTGGTTAAAGTCAATGAAATCAGCAGTTTCAAACTTTAACATGGTCCTTATAATTTATTTTTTCTTGAAATATCCTGAAGAAATATGTCCAGACCGATCATTCAGTTTCCTTGAATTACTCATATTTCCACATTCATCTGCATCACTTTTATAGCTAAAAATCTTTTCTCTGGTTTTCATATCTTATTTTCATTAGATAATAGAGCCTACCATATGTTATTAAATTAAAGAAGTGTATTATAAAATCTAATAATAATTTATATCACTCAAATTCATTTCAGAATGCTTAAATACACTCCAGAGCATATTGCATGTATGGCCCATTTCTGGGGACCAATTACACCTCAAGGGTCAGGGTTCTTGGCTCTTCAGGATGTTGCTAACAAAGAGGTAAGAATATCTGGCAATTACTGTGTACAAGAATTCAATAGAAAATTAACATTTAATGCATTAGATTCATAATATATGTGTATGCATTATTATATATGCATTAGATGCTTTTGGAAATTGTGGCAGCGAGTTTTCCCAAATATTTATTTATATATTGTTGTTTTCAGCAAATTTGTTGTTAAGTGCTTTATGACAGGTTTGTTTTTTTCTTTCAGCCTGGTTTTCGTATTGCTGCAACTGGATCTGTTGTAGAACTTGATAAATCTGTTCAAGTCATGAAGAAATTGAAGCTTACAGGAGTACCAATGAAAATATATAGGAAAACCGCTTTTATTCGAGGAATGTTCAATTCATCTCTAGAAGTAGCTAAATTTGAAGGAGCAAAATTGCGAACAGTATCAGGCATTCGTGGGCAAATTAAAAGAGCATTTGGAAAACCAGAAGGTTCTTTCAGAGCAACTTTTGAGGATAAAATACTTCTTAGTGGTAAGTTCACTCTGTATTTTGTTTGTAGGTAAGGATTTAGATAGCAACAAGTTTTTGTGCATTTGAAAATGGTGTTTATGTATTTATCGTCTTTTATGAAAAATGAAAGCAGAAATTGAGTAGCTTGTAAATGCAAACAGGTGTGGGATAGAGCATTGTCGTGGTTTAACAGCACTTTTTTGTGCAACAACCTTGGCTGTTTTTCGACCAATTTCTGCTTTAAACTATCCAATAATGAAGCGTAATTGCACCCAGTTATGGTTCTGCCCTTTTCCAAAAAATCTATAAGGATGATAATCTCGAAAAACCGTTGCCATCTTTCCTGCCGACAAAACAGCCTTTGTTTTCTTCCGTGCGCTCTCACCAGTCTTTATGCATTGTTTTGATTTTTTTGGGGGGGGGGGAGTGTAGTGATGGATTAATGTTTCATCCACAGTGACAAATCTGCCCCAAAAGTCCTGCTTGATTTCCGCCTCAAAACATTGTCCAGATGTTTTTGCTTTTGAAATGTTTCCTTTTTGAGTCCAGTTTTTGATCCAAAGGTGAATCAATCAACCAGACGAGGCACCATTCTTGCGCACATCTTTTTCAATGCTTGCAGTTTTTTTTCGTGCGGCTGGAAGTGCACCCTTTCAGTTGAGATGCCAAAAGCATCAGCAATCTCTTTCACTTTCACTCTGCGATCTTCCATTACCAGATCGTGCACTATTTCCACGATTTTCAGTGGTGACCTCAACTGGTCGGCCAGAGCGCACTTCATCTTTTGTGTTTCTACGAGCACATTTGAACTCTTTAACCCAGAAGTAAATTGTCTTCAATGCTGTTGCAGAGTTTACATGTACTTCATCTAATTCATTTTTGCTCTGCGATGCTGTCCAGCCCTTCAAATAAAAATGTTTAATCACAGCACGAAACTCGTTTTTCTCCATCTTCTATGCCGCACGTCAAGCATTAGATCTGGTTGCCAACAATTAACTACGCATCGCATTTGATTGAAAATTCAAACAGTTGCCTATAAAGAATCGTGCTTTCTAAGAATGTGCACTCTTTCATAGAAATTTACCTGACTTATCAAATGACCTTTGTAAGGGGGACTGAAAGGTTTATAAAAATATGTTTCAGTGAGAACAAACAGCGCATTTGTTGTACAAAGGAACAAAATCGAGGCGAACACAAATAAGGAACACAAATTTGATGTTACGTGACAACACTGGAATTGCAATCATTTCCACAAACACGTTACTTATGTATTGATTATGCATGAGATTTGAGAGGTTATAATATATTATATCCCACTTTTATATCTTTCTGTTTAGAGGCACATAGTCCTTTCCTGCCACTTTCAGCTTTGGCTATTCTTTAAAACAACCTGATTGCCTCTCTCCAATTTCCCTTTCATCATTCATTATGTTCAATGAACACAAATAAACTTACTATCACATAGCTCCTTCTGCAAGGAACATACAGGATGTTAACCTACCCTCAACTTCTTGCTATTTTCTGACCTATTTGTGAGGGCACCAGAGTGTAGCCCTTTGGTCATTGGCACTGATACTTTGCCGATTTTAATGCAATAAAACAATTTTCTAGAAACTGATTTTTAGCACCTGGTGATACTACAATTAGACAATAATGTTTTGAAAGTTTTGTGCAGGCCTGCTGTAGACATCCTCGTGTGCAATTTATTTGCCTTCTGAGCTTTGAAATACCAAAAAAATTATTAATTATTTTGTCAATATTTTAACTTAATTTTACATTCAATGAATTGATCATCTTTGTATCTACATTAATCCATACATCAAAAAGGTATATTGGAAATTAGTTTCAGATTCGTTAATCTCGAACTTGTGGATGATTAATCGGAATAATTTACTTCATTAAATGTTGATATTTTAGAGCACTCAAACCTTTTCTTCATCTGATTTGAGATATGGAGGTTAAATTCATCACTCAAATAGTTATGAAGTGAAATTGTTTAGTCTCAAAACAAGACACTGGAATATTACAATTTCCAACGTGTGCAGAAATTAAGAGCATGCAGCCTCTGACCATGATGTTTATGGTTTTGTTAGATACACAGGAACTTGAGGAACATCGAAAAAGATGAAAGTTTTGATTTTTATTGAAAAATGCAAATACAGTGAAACCTCTATATAATGTTTTTCAAGTGTCCGTGGATTCTGCACACTGTGTAGAGGAAAACACTATAAAGAGGAAGACTGTGTATATGGGCCTTTGGTCAAGGAATGGAAAAATTGAAACTGTAGGAAACATTATATGGAGGAACGTTATAGAGAAGTTTCACTCTATTAGGTTGTTCTTACTCCTTATATTCATACTCTATCCATCGCTGCTTGACACAGTAGACATGCAAAAGTAATGCTCCAAGGATGTGCCGGCCCACCGTAAATATTTTATATTCTCATGTTACATTTTGGTACAGCAACTTTATTGATAGTCCTGGTATGTTAAAAGAAGTTATTCTGTTCATCTATATAAACTACACTGTGTTTTTGCAGTGTTAAAGTATTTAATTTATTGTAGTGTTATATGAGAGTATTTCATTTGTTGTTGTTGTTGTTGTTGTTGTTAAGTGCGAGTGCTACTTTTTTGAAAACCATTTCTCCAGCAGGTTTCATTCTGTAGTATTTTTGCTGCTGCAGGCCATTAGTAGGATTTTATTATATAGACCAAAATTTGGAAGGATGGAAGTGGATTATGAGGAAGAATGTTAAGCAGTTAAATGTGTTTGTTTAAAATAACAGTAATAATAATAATAATAATAATAATAAACAATAACCAATAACAAGAATAAGAATGACAACAATAACAGCAATGCATGAATCTCTATTCTGTACAGATGGGAGAAATAAATTTTGATGCAAGTTATACGTTTTTGATGTTATGTTTTTAGATATTGTTTTTTGTCGTACGTGGTATCGAGTGGAAATACCCAGATTGTATAATCCTGTGATGTCCCTACTACTACCTCCTGACCAGAAGAATGCTTGGCAAGGAATGAAGACTGTAGGACAATTAAAGAGGGAGAAGGGTATTCGTTGTGAGCCTGCACTAGACAGCCTATACACAGTGAGTATATTAAGAAAAGTAATACACCTGCAACAAGATAATTTTTCAAAAGCATTTATCTATAAATGGAAGAAACTTGTTAACACACATTATTCTAAAAAGAAACGTTTCCTGTACTTTTTTGAAAGGCACAGTGTGAATTGTTAATGAATACATGTCTTTGCACTTCAGAGGTAACTTCATTGCTACTTCTTTTTTCTTGTTTCACATAATTGTCTTGTCTTTGTCTGCGTGTTTCTGCCTGCCTCTGCCCCTGTCTGTCTTTGCCTGTGTCGGATGCTGCCTTTGCCTCTCCCTCTGACTCTGGCTTGGTCTGTCTCTGACTCTGGGTTGGACTATCTCCGACACTGCTTTCGACTGTCTGTGATTCTGCATTGGACTATCTCTACCTCTGCTTTAGCCTTTCTCTGGCACTGTCTCTGACTCTGCCACTACCTTTGCCTTTCTCAGACTCTGACTCTGACTCTGACTTTCTTTCTTGTTTCTGCCTTGCTCTGTTTCAGACTCTGCCTCTCTCTCGCCTTCTGACTCGGCACTCTCAGTCTTCTGGTTGAATGTGTACCTTAGGCTGCCTATATGTCTGTCTCCCTTTTCCCTCAACCACTGTTGTATTAGATTGAAGTTTGGAGTTGAAATATTTATAATTGATTACTGATAACATTTTCGTTGTGATATGTTTACAGCCTATTGAACGTGAACCTAAAGTATTTCCACCTCTGGTTATACCTCGTAAATTACAAAAGATGCTACCTTATAAGAGTAAACCAAAGGTACCTGTTAGTGTATCTGCCAAAAGGCAAGTAGAGAAGAAGAGGATTGCTGTAGTGAGAGATCCTAAAGAACAGAAGGTAAGTCCAGTTCTACATACAATAACATGCAGAGACATCGTACATTGTTTGTATATATTGTTCTTTGGTTTTATTATACTCACTGGGGATAAATCTTTATATTTTACTTGTTTTTGATCAGGTTGCCTTTCAGCCTCTAAATGACCTTCCAATGCTAACTCTTCGAATCTCCCACTTATTGAGATCCCAGGGCCTCCACCCCATCTCCCTTCTTGTAATTCACTCAGCCCTTGTCAGTGTGGATCCTCTGCCTCCTCTGCTGTTGGAAATGGTGTGTACTGCACTTTCCAATGTCTAAAACTCTCTTCAAAAAAATGTACTTTTCATTAATTCATGGGAAAAATTCATTTAAAAACTTCGATTCTTTTAATCTGGGTCACATGCAGCAAATTTGTTCTCATAGTAACATTATTCTAAAGTTACTTCAGCAATCCCTTGCTTGCTTGCCTCACTTTTGTGTTTGCTGTGAGACATCACTCATGTTGCCTCACTTACCATTTCACTCACGTCACCTCACCTTATGCCATCTTTTTCACTTCATCTCACTCCCTTTGTATCACTTTTTCCCATTCCTTTCATTTCCCCTCACTCATGTACTCACCAGTGACATTTGGTAATGTTGAAGTTGTACATTTTGTTTTATTTATTATATATTATATTA